AAAATTTTTGTACAATTTGGTGCAAAAATCGCGTTACATTTAACTTTCTATTCGAACCATTTAGATAAGTTGGTATCTATGAGAGAACTTGGAGGAGGAATTTTGTTACATCGATCGAAGGTGTCGCAAAGGATGTAACAAGCGAACGTTCGAATCTTTCGAAACGATGACGCGATAGGCGTGCCGAATATACAATGACGACGACAGAATCTAACGGGTAGGAAACGAATCATCTTTTGTCGTCTTCCTTCATCGTCTGGCAAACCGTTTCGTCTCTCGTAGGAAGGAAAGCTCGGAAACGGACTGTACTGATGGTTGCTCTAAAGATATCGCTGCGTCCACGCGGCCAGGAATAGAACCGTGACGTCGTTGTTCGTCGACGAGAGAACACACCAACTCTCTTCGGTTCGTCGTACAACGACAGTCAGCCAATGGGATACGCTTCGAGGTCGCCGCTGAATAACGCTCCTACGAATGCCACCCCGTGATACTGATTTTGTCACCGGCCACTTCCTACTTTTACCGCGATCGCACACGGTGACGCGAATTTTTACCAAATCCCCTTGTCGTTTGTTACTTCATTCTTTTCGATTTTTACGATTGTGCAATTTTTTTTTAGCTTTAACGAGATGTTTGCGGGTTCGAGAAATCACTGTTGCGTTGTATACACTGTGCGAAATCTTGTTTGGGTACTGTGGAGAGGTGGAAGGGAGTTTTGTGGAAGAGATGACGGTTTTTTTGGGGCGTTTTCCTACAGGTTCGTCTTCTCTGACATAATTGTTGAAATAGGGAAGAGTTATCGTTATTATTGGTGGAAGCGATAACATTGAAAATTTCGGTTATGTAAAATTGTGCGATGGGAGAGTTGGGCGGGGTGGGTGAAGTATAGTCGGTGGAAGAAATACAGGGTGGGTGTAAAAAAGGGTTCACAATTTAACACGTTCAGGAAACGCTCATTATTGGCAGCGTTTCTTATGACAGTAATGTGTATTATTATTAATACTTAATTTTTCAGTATGTTATCTGAAAATGTGGTGATCCACCGTTGGATCACACTATCCATGGGTGGGTCTCACCGTCCTGAACGTGTTAAAGGGGTTATAATACTCACCGAGGGGGGTAAAAAATGTCTAGTCAACGTAGGTACAAAAATCAATTCTTTCTAGACTAGTATATTGACTAGACATTTTCTATTCCTCTCAGTGAGGAATGTAATCTCCTTAAGTTATGGACCCTGTATAGCGTGGTCCTAAGTTCGCTCGGGTGTCAATTTCTATGATCGAGCATATCGACAGGCGAATCGACAGAAACCTAAGATGAAACCTTCCAAAACCTCAGTCAGGGTTATACTATACTCTGTAGAACTCAGGAGTTTGCCCCTGGAAGAAATGATGTGATTGGGCCATATTCAGGAGTTTGCCCTTGGAAGGAACGAAGTCTGATTGGGCCACATCCTCATAAGCCCACCTTTTCTAACACAATCGTAGAAATAAGGCACACTAATTGTCATTATTGGCCGAACGTGATATCATCGACGAATCTTATCATAAAGCACCGCGTAGCGGAAGATTCGGGCGGGCAAGCGAAGTTGCCCTTCTTGCCCGTGTGCTGCCCCGCGGGCAAACTTCTGAGCACTGTACAGTACTACGCAGAGATGAAAAGTTGGGATTGGGTCCACCTTTTCCAACATAATTGTAGAAACAGGGAACACTTGTTGACATTATTGGTCGACACGATAACATCGACGAATCGCATCACATAAAATTGCGTGACGGGATAGTGAGGCCGTGTAAATGAAGCATAGTCGGTGGAAGAAATATAGCGAAGTTATAAGTTCACTCAGGTGTCAATTTCTATGTTCGAATACGTCAACAAGAGAATCGGCATAAATCTAAGAACACAAAGTAAGAGAAGTGTGCCAAAAGACGCGAACAGTAGAGTGTAAGTAAATTTTCAAAGCGCCTACAGGCGTCAACAGCAATGTAAGGGTTAAAGAACATTATTAACACGTTGAGTGCCGCGGGGGTGATCGGTGGTCTCAAAATTAGTAAAAGCATTTAATTTGAATAAATGGTAGTAATTTGTAAAATGTTCACCTAATGCATCACACAGCATGTTTAAATAGTTTTATTTCCAACTATTCACATATTATTTATGCATATTGCAATGTGTTGTATTAGAATAAAAAATTCTTTTCGGCACCGTGGACAAGTTACGTAGAATTGGTCCGGCATTCAACGTGTTAACCAAATTCATTCACATATTTTCGAATAAAATTGCTGAACACTACCCCACACCTTTTAAATTTGCTGATAGCATACAATAATTTTCCTCAATTTTTCTAACGACGATTATCACCAATAAAACTTCCATCAATTCGATCAACGATCGAAAATAACCCCAAACGAAACAGTCAACCAAGAAAGACTACTCCGGATGGAATAAAACTTCCTCTCGCTCACCCTCGAGAAGTTTTTCTAAAACGGAAGAATGATCAAATCCGCGAGGCAGTCAGGAAGGGTGACAATAATTTATCGCTGAACTGTATTTCTTCGTTCCGTGTCTCACTTTTCCCTCGGTCTCGCGCTGCCTCAAAAAGACGAACTCGCTCTTCGAGGGAAGAAGAAGAAGAAGGAGGAGGAGAGGGGGGTGAAAAATAATAGGGGGATGACACCGGCGTGTACAGAGCCGATAAAAATCGTTGACAAGAGTAGCACCGTAAATTTCTTCGGGGGAAAGAATTATAGCTGCCGGATAAAAGACAAGGCAACAACGACGATTTGACCAAAAGCGCGCAGCACGTGGGACACCGAAGTTGCGGGCCAAAACGTGGCGTTACTGACATTAAGTTACTCCCGCTCGAGGCTCGTCGTCCTTTTTCGAAGTTCTGCATTCTCCGCTCCGTGTATGACTCAACCGAAGTGTGGGGAGGGAGGGGCAACGAAAGAAAAAGAAAAAAGAAAGAAAGAAAAAAGGAGTCGATGGACGCGGGCATGGAAGTGTCGTCCGATGAAAGAACCCGCTGACAAAGGAACTGCTGCAGCATGTTGCAAATTAATCCGTGTATTATTTTCTACTTGCTCTCGGGGGCTTTTAACCCTCGAACACAAAGCTTGCTGGCTGTTCGCTGCTCGCAGAAGGCGTCTGCCTTCTGACAAATTCTTTGATCATGCCGTGGAAAACGAGTTAGGGACACGTGCGTGCACGTACAATGACGACGCATACGTAATTATCGAAAATAATTCAGGTTTTCTTCTTACATTGTACAGGGTGATTCTGGCAACTGGAACAAGTCATAGGTTTGTTCCACGTGAAGTTAGGAAAAAATCGTAGAGGAAAGTTTTGCATTGTTTAAGAAGGTTTAGCATCCTATGATACGATTTTTTTTTGCAAGTGTGACTCTTTTTTTTTTCCTTTTTTTTTTAGCAGAGACTGATTCTTTGGAACATTTCAGGTGTATCAGAGTACAATGTTAGAAAAGTCGATACTTCGTTATACTTCGTTACTCGAATTTCAGATATTCCAAATTTTTGATAAGATGCAAGCTTACAGTTAGTGAAGGCGTTCAAACTTTCTGCCTTATACT